GTTGCCTTGAGAGGCCATATTTATTTTCAGTTAATTGCTATACTTAGTTGCTATTTGTCCCTGTCGTACATATTTCTGGAATATTTGACATCTGGTTTATTTGAGTATGCACTGAGGATACTTAAACTGTTAAATCGAAAGTCTGACTACTCTTATTTGAAAGTTATTGAGATAACTATATTTGCATAGCTCGTCACTATTTCTCAGTTCCTTATATATTTCTGTTACTTACTGAGTTGGTGTACTCACATTACCCCTATACCTCGTGTACAGATCCAGGCACTTCTGGTCACGGCAGTTGCTGATTGAGGAGTCAGACTCAGGAGACTATTGAGGTAGTTGCATGGCATTCGCTGACCTTGACTCTCCTTTCCTTTCATATTTTAGTGTTTTATATTTGCAGACAATGTTTTATCAGCCGGGCTTTGTTATCATTTAGATGTTCATGCACTCAGTGACACCAGGTTTTGAGGATGGATTATTTAGTACTTTTGGAGTTATATTCTATTCTTAAAGGTTTTATTTAATATTAACTGCTTCTGCCTTTATTTAAAAGTTCTATTGTGTTGAGATGTTGAGTTGAGGCTTGCCTAGTACCACGATAGGCGCCATCACGATAGGTGAGATTTTGGGTCGTGACACTCTCTATACTTGTTTTTACTTTACAGTCTTTATTTTATAACAACTACATATTAAATTTGTCTTGGATGATGAATTTTTTTGTTCCCGACGATAATGGTGTAACTTTGAAGTGAAGAACACATATTTTGATTTTATAGATTTTTTTCTAGCATTTAGTAGTATATAAATAATAACAGATAATACACTTTCATATAATATTTGAATTTCCTTCATATTCAAGTAATTGTTTTTCAATATATTTGGTATAATATTTAAAAATTACACTCATTATTTGAGATGACCCAAAAGGTCATATCGTATTTTAGAATCCAATCCGGGGTTGCAAGGCCTTCAAGACCTTATTTTCCTTCTCCTCGATTTGCATGCGCAGTCCGTGCGCATTTCCGGAAAGCCTATATGTGAAAAAAATGAGAAAATGCTAAATTTTGCTTTTAAAATTGAATTAAGTTGACTTCGGTCAATATTTTGGGTAAATGAACCCGGACCCATAATTTGACGGTCCCTGATGGTCCGTAGAAAAATATGGGACTTGGGTGTATACCCGGAATTGAATTTCGAAGTCTCTAGCCCGAGAAATGAATTTTTGAAGGAAATTGTTTAACTGAAAAATATAGGGAGTTTGGAAATTGAATAATGCTTGAATGTGATGGTATCGGGCCCATATGTTGGTTTTGGAGCCCGGTACAGGTCTGAAAATAATGTTTAAGTCTAATTTGTAAAATTTGGCAGGAAACAGACTTGATTTGATATAAATTGGACCATCGATTGTGAAAATAGTAACTTTAGGTGTTCTTGGGAATTTCTTTGATTTTGAGGCTAAATTCATAGTTGTTGATATTATTTTGATGTTTGATCGCACGAGCAAGTCCGTATGATGTTTTTGGACTTGCGTGCATGTTTGGTTTGGAGCTCCGAGGGCTCGGGTGAGTTTTGGATAGGCCGCAGAGTATTTTGAACTTAGGAAAAATTGCAGGTGAGTTGCAGGTCTGCAGGCTTCGCAATTGCGAATAACCATCGCATTTGCGATGATTGGGCAGGGAGGAGACCTTCGTATTTGCGAAGCTCTATGTCGCAAAAGCGACTCCAGTAGTAATCGCAATTGTGAACGAAGGTTCTCATTTGCGAAGTAATCAGGCCAGGCCAACCTTCACAATTGCGAAGCCTTGGCCGCATTTGCGAACCTGGCATCGCAAATGCGATAACTGTGCCTGGGTAAATTAAAACTTAGACGGGATTTTCTTCATTTTTCAAACTCTTTCAAACCCTAAGCTCTCTTGGGTGATTTTCCAAAGGAATGTTCTTTCCCAAATCATAGGTAAACAACTTTTAACTCATTTCTTTCAATCTACTTCATCTTTTTACAAGATTTCATCACAAAATCTAGGGATTTTCATGGGAATTTGGGTGTTTTTAGGGGAAAATTAGGAATTTGGGAATTTAGACCTTAATTGAGATCGGATTCCAAAACCAATTGCATATCCGGGCTCGGGGGTGAATGGGTGATCGGGTTTTGGTCCGAACCTCGAGTTTTGACCAAGCGGGCCCGAGGTCGATTTTTGGAGTTTTGGAAAAAATGTTGGGAAGGCTATAATTAAGCATTGGTGTGAGTTCTTTAGAACTTATTGATGTTATTAAAATAATTATGACCAGATACAAGTGAATTAGAGGTGAATTCTAGAGGGAAAGCGATAGTTGAGGCTTGATTTGTAGTCGTGGGATCGAGATAAGTGTTTGGTCTAACCTTATCTTGAGGGAATATGTGTTGTGCCTTATTTGCTAAGTGCTAGTGTAGTGTATAACATATAGGTGTGGTGACGAGTACCTATACGTTGGTGTCAAGTATGCCCGTGAGTCTTAAATTGTGATTTTTGTGATTCTTAATAAGTACTACAAATGCCTAAATTTTTAAATATCCATGTTGAGTAAGACTTATGATTATCTCCTTGGTATTTGTTTATTGTTGAGCATTGACTCCAGTTGAGGTTCATTTATGAAGTTAATTGTTGGTATAAGTTTGGTTATAGCGGATTTCCTTGGCGGGACGTATTTAATTCTCATTGTTGATTCCCTTGCCGGGATGTATTTATTCTTATTGTTGATTCCCTTGTCGGAATGTTGATTGTTACCATTGTTTGGGTGAGGAAAGAGTGATAAAGCACGAAGTGTGATGCCGTGCACGTTCATATTTATACATATGGTGAGGAAAGAGTGATAAAGCATGAAGGGTGATGTTGTGCACATTTACATTGATATTGATGCATATGGTGAGGAAGAGAGATAAATCACGAAGGGTGATGCCGTGCACATTTCTAATATTTATATGGTGAGGAAGAGAGATAAATCACGAAGGGTGATGCCGTGCACATTTCTAATATTTATATGGTGAGGAAGAGAGATAAAGCACGAAGGGTGATTCCATGCACTTTTTTTTTATTGATCGCATGGTGAGGATTGAGAGTAAAAGCATGAAGGGTGATGTCGTGCATTTATTGCTAGTTTGTTCTGATTCCTTGTTGTTATTGGTTCAAGTGCCTTAATTGTTTCATTCTGATATATTTTCTGTGATTCTTTATGTTGGTATCCCCCACAGCATGTTACCCCTCCCCATTACCTTTGATTTGCTTCTATTACTGTTATTCTGTTAGATATTGTTTAACTGCAGGTTATGTTGTTTGTTGTGTCATAGCCTCGTCACTACTTTACCGAGGTTAGGCTCGACATTTACTCAGTACATGGGGTCGGTTGTACTGATACTACACTCTGCACTCTTTTGTGCAAATTCCAGTACTGGAGCATACGAACCATAGATAGAGGTTGCTGCCTTCAGTCCATTGGAGATCCGAGGTAGTCCTGCAGGCGTCTGCAGGCCTTGGCGTCCCTTTCCTATCTTGTTTCTTTCTATTCGTATCTATTTCCGAGACAGACATGTATTTTCTTTGTTCAAACCCTATTTGTAGTTTTCATATATTGTCCGTGAGATTGTAACACCTGTTCTGGGTGGATTGTTATTATGGATTTTGTATTGGTATTAGTTAACCTGTTAAAATTCTGTTTTTCCGCATTTCTATTTTCGCTTTTTACTTGAATTAACTTGGTGAATTGTTAAAAGAAAAGGTAAAAAGATAGAATAATCAATAATGTTGGCTTGCCTAGCGGATTCAATGTTAGACACCATCACGGCCCCGACGGTGGGCAATTCGGGTCGTGACATTATTAGAATAAATAATTAAGTATTTTCTTCATTGATTTTATGGATAATATTTTGAAAATTACACTCAATAATTAGAAAAAATAACTAAGAAAATATTTAAACTTGACAAAAAGTGAGATTATGTACCACAATCTTCATTAGCTATTATTTTTATTCTACATTCAATGTGGGATAGTAATTTAAGAATTAGCTATCCTAGGATAAAATAATCAAATGACCAAAATATCCTTAAGACTAAGGTTAAAGTTGAAAATAAAATTTTATCCAAGTTTATATATGAAAAATCAAACACATTTTGTATATTAAACTCTATATATTTTATTTTTAATTCAATGAACCAACTATTTATAATTGAAAGTATGTCTAATAAATACTTTCGTTATTATTTAATCTCCTTATTACAATTTTTGCATTATAATCCCATTATAACTTTTTGCGAACCAAAAGACCCCTTAGGATTGTATAAATCTATTCTTAGAGTTAAACTGATAAAAATACAAAGTTGAAACAATAAGGATAAGATAATAGAAGATAAATTTCAAAAGAATTTAATAATTTTTTTATCATTTATTCCAATAAATGACAACTCTCGATATTTTTTTTAAAACATTTCTAAATTATTTATTATAAAATATTAACTCATTATTAGTTGTTTTTAGATTGTACACTTATAGTTATTAATTTTTCTTGAGATATAGGGACAACCTCTTTATTGAATCTCTAAAGAGATAAAAAAATTAATTTTTAAATAGATTTTATTTGACAATTCTTTAAATAATCTTGGTAATAATATTTATACATTATTTGCTTGTTTTTAGTATTAGGTCACAGAAATAACAATAAATTTCATAAGATATTCCCACATCAGTCTTAAGAAATAAGAAAGCATTTAATTTAAGGATTTTTATATAGATGCATTTCTTCCCGTATTGAGTTAGCTAAATAGGATCNCATTGATATGGGTACACGCGCAAAAGGCATGCGTTAAGACCAGTAAAAATAAACAAGAGAACACAAAAGAGTATTTTATAATATAAAATTCGGAAAAAACCTGTTCAGACTATAAATACCTTAGAAATCCACATAGGACAAAGTAACCTTCCATTGGTTTATAACAATTTGGTTGAAACAAGTGTACACCAACCAAATTAATCATCAAAGAGCTCGACACTTGTTTTCCTTCTTTTGAATGAAAATAACACTTCCAATAATAGGCTATCAACTCCTAGGGAGTAGGGTGGTCTAAAATTGTTGAAACATCAAGGGTAGCTATTTCCCAATGGTAGAAAATACAAGGGCGTAAGCAGCCTTAAATAAAAGAATACTTTTGTCCTTTTCAATTGTTGGGAATTTTATCATTTATAATAAATATATACCACCCTTTTTTTCTTCTTTCTTCTTTCTTGTTTTTTTCCCCGTTATTATCATGAAGACCTGACTCTCCTCTCCCTGATACGTATTTTTAATTAGAGATTTATTAATTATTTTTTAATGTTTACTTGTTCAATTTAATCACTAAAAGCATGTGGGGGCATCTTATGAGTTTTCTGCATCATACATATAATATAAAGACTTGTTGATTTCTTGATCTTATGTTGTGTTCTTAATTTTTCATCAATATAAGCAATATCTAAATTGTCTTTTACCTTGTCTTGTGTGTCACTCCTTTCCCTTTTATTTTTTTGTTTTTATTTCTTCATTATTCCATTTTACACACACAGCGGCCGTACAGAGAGATTCTGTAAAAGGTGAGAGAGTGTGGAGAAGAAGATAAAGGTGAGTTCTTTTTTGTTGGGATTGAATCAAAACAGAAAAGGGGTTGAAAGATTTTCAATGGAAAGCAATAATAGAAGCAAGTTTAAGAGAATCTGTGTTTTCTGTGGAAGCAATCCTGGCCATAGGAAAGTCTTCAGTGATGCTGCTATTGACTTGGGGAATGAATTGGTTAGTCTTGATTCTTGAATCCTCTCTGCTTTGAATTCTTTAGTTTCAACTTTCAAGATTTTAGCTTTGGGTGACTTTTGGAAATTGTTTATGTGAAGTTTTGTTTGATAACAGAAGTATTTTGACTTAAAGTTTCCAACTTTTTTGCAAAATATGTTGATTTTGTTTTGGTTGTACTGTAGGTGTTTCTTCTGTTGACATTCTAGTTACGCATTGAGTTTCTACTACCATTGTTGAAGTGTTATCCCTATAATGAAAGTGACTTGGGTTTTAAGGTTTTACATTATACTGATGTAGTCTTATTTTGACTTTGATAATGTTGTTTTGCAGGTAAGTAGGAAGATTGACTTGGTGTATGGTGGTGGAAGTGTTGGATTGATGGGGTTGATTTCCCAGAGAGTCTATGAGGGAGGTTGCCATGTCCTTGGGTAAGTGAAAATATTGAAATTCCAAGTTTTGCAATGGCAAGTTGTATGCAAAGTTTACTTTGTAAGTTGTGCTGAATTATTTCAACTCATTCTTAATTGCTTTGAACATGCAGGGTCATCCCAAAAGCTCTTGTTCCTATTGAGGTATGTAGAAATTAACTTGCAACTCAAATTTTACACTTTGTTTGAGCTTCCATCTCTGTTGTTCTAACTGTTCTTTGTTTCTTT